CACCTTAAAAACCATTTAGCTGTTCAGGAAGTCTCACATAAAGCCAGTTGGTCCTGATCTGTCATCGCCTCAGCAACAGCGCTCTCATGCACTTCCAGAAATTAGTGGCATTATGCACAATCGGGTAACAAGCCTCCAGTTCCTCTTGCCTTGATTTAGCCCAAGAGGAAATTTACAGTGATAGCTTGACTAAAAGGCTGACAAGCAGGAGGGAAGAGGGGGACCAACAGGCCATGAAGTCTGGTCCACTTCCTGTTCTTTTTATCTGTTTGTTTGCTTTATTCCTTTTTACATCTGTCTGGACTCAACAACACCATGCTTTACATGGCTGAATTCTGACCAAAAAGTGGCCAAACTTGCTCAAAAATGCTCTGCTGCTTGTCCTTACCACAAATTATTTGGATCTGTTTCCAAATTTCTAGCACAACTTTGCAAAAACATATAATTATTAAGAAGCAACACATGGATCAAACTGTATTATCTTACTCAGAACAACGTTTCTATTGATGTTCCTTTGATGAAATTTCTTTTTACCAAAAACTGAGCTGTCCTTTATGAATAAAGGAACAAACGTCTAATGCAAAATTATAAGCATAATAATAACTATGTAATATGGTATTTGGTAAGAAACCTCTTCCCCTCTTCCACAGAGAGGTCAGTGGCAAAAAACAACAACTGTAACCTGAATTAGTAACTGGTAGGAAATCAGCATTTTGCTTAAGGTAGATGCTTTCAAACAGGAGCTTGACCAGCTGGAAATCCTGTAAATCTCCAACACGCAACTGCATGGTACCGATTTTCTTATTTCAGTCAGTTAAATTAAGTGGACAGAGGAGCAAACAGTCAGGTGTGATCACATCAGCTGCATCTTTGGTGCAGATGCGACGGCAGAAACCGAACCTGACATTGCAGAACTGAGAAGTAATTAGAGGCCAGGCCGCCGCGCTCCTTCGGCTGACACCAAATCAATGCAGTTTTTCCGCGTTATCAATTAAAGACGTGTAATTACAAGCGTGGAGAATTGCCTCTCACAAACAGTCAAGCCAGAGACGGCCCTCTACCGCTGGCTTGCTCCAGAACGGCTCCTCGATATGCCGCACCTTGACCCCGATGCCTCAAATGACAACCTGGATCTGCAACGACCCGGTTGTTTATGGATTTTATGGCGTTCGCTCCAAACACCTGAGCGATAAACTCAGTGTAGCGTGCAGCATCAAAATGCCGTACATTTGGTAGCGAGCCAAAGTGCAAAATGTATTACTCAAGAGCCCAGCTCCCAATTGAAGCCAGCTGGCTTTGAACCATTAGCCGGTACAAGCAGAGACAACCTGGTTGCTGAGTGCGCCGACACTCCTGGGTAAATGAAACAGGGCTCTACACTACTCCCTCCTCTCCTCCCAACATCCACCCCTTCCACCCCGCGGCCTCCCATCAGCACCTGGGAAAATGGATTTGAAACGAGGGCATTTCCCCAACCCCCCTCTCCCAAATGAGCAGATGGAGGCTTCCGCAACGATTATCACCACATTACCTGGGAGTCTGTTGACGAACAGGAACAATACAGGCGGCGCTAATAAACCCCAATCAAACATGACACCCCCGCTAATGTTGCTCACTTCTCTATCCCTACAAGGCAGAACTAGTCACACTGATTCGTTTTCATCAAACGGCCCAGCTACAGCTGCATTCTCTACAAACAGGAGAGAGTCAGTGGAAGTGATTTCTTTCATAGGTCTCAGCCTTGGCTCACCTTATGATCATAAAAGCATGGTGGAGTCATTAGCAAGACATATGTTTCCTCATGGATTTTACTCTTGTCAGGGTTGGAACAGCATTTAGACCATCTTGAGACTTCCTATTAAATTCAGATACAAGAGCAGTAGATTTATATGACGGTGTGCACATGTGCATATACATTGTTGTCTATTCATATGTAGGTTATTACTGTATGCAGGCCCGCAAACTCCAGTGGAATGACAAAGTCGACAGTTCTTAGACTAGGACCGAACTTTGCTTTGCGCTTGAAACTGCTGCCACTGTGCCACAGTATATATGAAATATATATATTTTATATATATATATTCATATATACATTAAATCAATATCAATATAGATTATTATATTTAAAAATGCCGGGTTTGCAGCAATGTTCATGTCAGTGTGGATGGTTGGACAGAAAGTGATGCTTGCCAGACCAAGCCAGTCATATTAAGAAATATTTTCAGCGTTTTTTGTTTTAATTCATTTTCAGTTTGATTTCTGGTTAATAAATTACACTATATATATATATATATGGTGTAATTGCAGAGGTTTCTCTGGTATGTAGCAGACAAATATTCTCCCCCCAAAATCACACTTCTTTTCCTCTCTCTTCTTTTGTTTTAGTGTTAGTGCTCAGTTTTCTCCCTCTGGGAGTCAAGCATTCTCTCTCTGTCTCTCTCATTCCTCCTTTTTATACCCAAAAAAAGCCCAACTGTAACAACAGTGGTCTCTAAACAACCAGGGGATTCCAGACGACTGACCTCAGAGCTGTTCGTCCACCGCTGAGATACAAATATTTACCACTATCGTGTTCAGCTCAGCGCTGAGGGCCGCCCCGCCACGAGAAACACTACCCTGATTGGGCCCCGCCTGGCTTGAATGCCCCTGGAAAACAAATAAAACTAGCCCTCATTTTGTCTCTTTTCCTTCTCTTAAACCATCCTAAAGATACACGTCAATGCACTGAGTGACAATTGGTAAAGAAAGCTCACGTCATTCCACACTTGCTTGTACTCCACGGAGGGTAGTTTGAGCAGCAATATAGAGATTTTGGAGAGCTTGATTGCCTTTTAATATCATGAATGTCAAGATCTCGAAAATTGCAATTTATATTTTGAACATATTGCATCTCTGTTGTTTGCTGATGATATCATTCTGCTGGTTTGGCTTCATCAGATTGCACACTGGGGCAGTTTTCTGAAGTGGTTTGACAGAGAGAAAGCAAAGTCTAAGGCCATAGTACTCTGCTGCATCTTGGGGTTTTGTGCATGAGTGAGGGTGAGATGGAGCATCAGATCAACAGACAGATTGGTGCAGCGTCAACAGTGATGTGAGTCTTGTGAAGGACTATTGTGTTGAAGAGGAAGTCAAACCTAAAGACAAAGTGTTCAATTTGTCATCTGATTAACATTCCAACCCTCAAATACAGTGCGGCCATAATTCTCTGGGTGACCACAAGGTAACTGGGCTCATCCGGAAGGAGCTTGACGTTCATTCATGTTGAAAGGAGCCAGTTGAGGTGATTCAGCATCTGATCAGGGTGCCTCCTGGACGCTACCCTGTGGGGGTATTTGGGACCAAGTCCAGCTGGGAAGAGACCCACAACTCACTGGAGGAATAACATATCCCATCTGGCTTGGGAATGCCTCGGAATCCCTCAATAATGTCTAGACCACATGACAGTGGCATGAGGCGTCAGGGCCTTACTTAGCCTGCTGCCACTGCGACTCAAAGCAGCAGAAAAACGGACGGAGGGATGGATGGATTCTGCCGGGACTTTCTTTGCTGTTCAGGTTTACTGGTTAGCGAGACTCCGACCAGTGACATTTAACCAAACCAATTAGATTTTCTCCACCAAGAAATGTTTGTTTCACTCCAGTGTGCAACTGAACCACATACTACCTGATATTAAAAGAACTTGTTTATGTCTTAATTGACAAATGAACTAATGTAGCTCCTTGTGTACATTCTTGTACTTTAAATTTTGCACTGATGATTGAGTTTTTATTGCTCTGTAACGAGGTATTGACTCCCTGTCTGGTCTTATTAGCTTATGTTTCCCAGGTGGTGTATGTGCTGTGATTGTACGTGTTTTATTGCATGCCTTAAACATCTCTGCACACAAAATTTGATTTGATTCTTTCTCTCGGAATAAAACGCCAGAGGTGTTGTTTTTTCTCCTTGTACTTTGATTTTTTTTCTTGTTTCTTAAAAATTACGATGCAGTCTGTGTTGCTTGAATCACAGAAGAAACAACCCAAAAAGATTATATTTCTCAGATCTGGGTGAATTGGATAAATCACTGTGCTCTGTAAAAACACCACTAAGGGTCTGAAAAAGCCTGAGTACACAATATATTCCTTTTCAAAGCACCCGTTGCAGTAGTTTGTGTTTGACACTGATCAAGCATAATCATCAGGCGATCAGGGCTTGTGTGTGTACGTCTGTATGAAGAGCACACACTGACACACACACAAAGAGCATCTCCCTTTCTATCTTCCCAGTGCAAGTAGAGCTAACCACTCCAGGGAGCTGGAGACTCAATTAATGACATACATACAGCACTTGCAAGATGTCAGGAAAAAAAAAAAAACACTACTGCACATACACACATTAAAGGCTGTTCTATACATGTATGTGTGTGTGCAGCTCTTCTACTCGCATGCATGTAGTACAGTATGTAGGCTATGGCCGGCCTCTGGGAAATGTATGTTCTTTTGCATTATCCGCCTTGGAGCCCTAACATATCTAACGCACTACATACTGTAACCTGTTGTAAACTTAACACTGTAACTATACATTTAACTCAATGCAAACTCCACTGCAGCTTATCAAACGGGAACCAATGGTAGCAGTAATGTGAGTAGTGAATAAATACTCAACAAGGATTTGACTTAACTGTGAATTGTTTAAGATATAACACAATAAAAAGGTGTCTATCTATGTGTATCTTTCGATTACCAAAGCACGTTGTGCAGTGTTACTCAAAGTGAATATTTCTTCTTATTTCTGCTGATTCTTTACAGTAAAATACGCACATTTCTCATGGAGGAGCAGATTTGTTTAATCAGATTATTACTTGGATTTGATGTCCCCACCCACTAAAGCTTTTGTTGGGCAGAAGACACAGATTAAAGCTGCTGACTAGACTAACACCCCTCACAGTAGGTAGGAAATCGTTAACAGTATATGACAAATTTGTCATACTTTGTAGTACTGTTCACACACTGTACTCTTACCTTTGTAGTTTCTCCAACAGAAAGCTCTGACAGTAGAAGAGGCAGTAGACTGGGGGCTGCAAGAAGATAATAAAGTTAAGTTAATAAACTCATAATATAACAACCATTAATGATTTTTATAAATGTACCAATAGTTTGTTGTAAAGAAAGTACAATTCTAGATTGCAGTTTAAGCTTTCTTTAGCTTTCTGTGGCAATATATGTTTTCAGATGTCAATTAAAGAGCCCATTCATCAGTCAATCTTTCAGTTCTTCATTCACAACCTATAAAATATCACAGGATTCATCCCTAGTCTATTTTTTTGTTTTGTTTAGTCCCTTTGGCATATCTACAATATCTTTCTATTCATCTTTTTTTACTAATTATAAAGAGACCTGAAATCCAGTTTTATTTTTATAAAATGTCCCTTTTTTGGTGTCTTTTGGAAGTGAACTCTTCATTTCACACCTCTGTGGTCTTCCACACACCAAGGCCTTACCTCCTCACTGTCTCCCCAGCTTAGGCATGGTTTGCTGCAGTTGAGAGGTCGCCACTTGGAGGAAGATGGTGGCTGCTTACAGATCTCGAGGTCAAAGGTCATTCCTGTTCTCCTGCAAAAGGTGAGAGGACCAGAGCATGGGTCAGTGGTGCTGAAATCTCATTTAAGAGATTGACCTCCGAGGGCCGGCTAGAGACGGTCCGACGCTTGGATATGTCGTCACCGTGGATGATGTATAGGTTTGGGCTGAGAGAAGAGCCCTAATGCAACACACACATCTCTGCATGCACACACCTAGGTCGACGGGCGCTGATGCACAGAGCCTTGGAGCATGTCAGTGTGGTAACACATCTTTCATCAGATAAGATGGAACTTTAAATGAGCCTTTTGTGGAAACTGGGACAGCAAATAATAACAGTAGCACAAAGACAACAATGATATAGATAAGAATAAGGACTGGGTCAAAATCATACACAACAGATAATTTCAACATGAAACAGGTTAAGTAGAAATGTATGGGTCACAGTATGAAAAGGTGGGGGCTGCAGAGGAGCTGCAGTATAGCTCTTCATCAGCTGATTCAGCTGGGAGAGGGAGACACATCTATTCACATTATATAAACTGCTACTCTATGTCTGTACTATACAGAAAGATCTAATATTAATGAGTCCAGGCTTACTGCTGTTTAAAAATTAGTGCTGTTTAGACAAACCGGGTGTTGGACTTCACTTCCATTTCCTGCAACTGAACATATGTGACAATCAAATTGAATTTATTCCTCGTCTATTACAAGTGAGTTTTTACCTCTGTTAAAGTCCCATTGTGTTTTTACATAAAAATCTTACTCAGTGCAGCTTCGATCTAAATTATATACATTGCACATCGTGGACAGCCAAGGTTTAACAATCAGAGGACTTCAGTTAAGGCTCACTAGCAGCATTTAACACGATGTAAGATGGCAGACTATGGAGCAAATTGAGATATGTTAGTGATCAATTTCAGGTGGCAGGCTTAATAAGCTCATTGTGTCAGTTTTTATTGTTTTTGTTGTTGTTGTTTTTTATCTGCTCTTGGTCCAGTGCCAAGCATCAGGGTGTGTGTGTGTCAGTGGAGGGAGTGTGTTGCACTGTGAACAATCGTCACTTTGAGGGTTAAGAATTAGTTTTAGGGTTAAAAAGTTAAAATTAGGTTCAAGTTAATGTTAGAATATGTGTCTATGCATTAGGTCACAGTTTTTATTTTAAGATACATCTAATTAATGTAAGCAATGTAGAAGCACTTGGAAGCTGAAGAGGTGAAAACATTTTTAAATGAAGTAATTTTTCTCCGTCTCTCTTACAGATTTTCTGTCACTTTCACATCTTTATTTCTTTCACTATCTCTGCCTTTGTCTAGAGACTCCTGTCTTTCTGTCAGTCTAATGCATCGGGGGTACCACATGGTCTTGTACACGCCATTTGTGTTACTTTCTTGAATTATTGCGAGGAGCACGGGTGTTGCAGTGAACAGAAGGGAACAAAGACAGTGAAATGAACCCCTCATTGATCTCCGTATTGAGAACATCTGCCCTGAACCTGAGGGGGGTTGGGAGACACAGAGGAGTTGTGGGAAGTTGAATGCATACCAAGCAGCAGAGTTCAGGTATATACCCAGTTAATTTGGTGCATTTAATTGAGAGTTAATTTGTAAAAGTAAGGTGAACTCTTTAAACCTCCAGGCAGTCTTTACAGTGAACGTGTTATCCTGTCATAACCTTTAAATAACCTTCTACAACAGATATAGAGGTCATCAAGATGAGATAAAAAATCATTTTCAGAAACAGAGTTTATGCTTTGCTTCCTCCTGACAACATAATGGTCACTGGTTTATAGTAAATATAACATTTATTGAGCACTTACAAGGGGAAAAAAGAGAAAATTGTAGGAAGAGTGATGAAGAAAACACAAAATGAGTTATTACTGAATGAATATGAGCAGAAAAATGCATAACTTCAGATTACTAGTTTATATTCAAGTCATTTTTATCTTATTCCAGAAGCCATGAGGTAGTCTAATGAAGGTTTAAGCAAAAAATACAGCAAGAGTCCAATTTTGGTGTCCATCTCCGAGACTAAAAGACAAAGAACGTCTTAGATCTGCCTTTCAAACAATTATATTCAACAACAGAAATACACTGTAGGAGCAGTGGAGGGATCTGGCTGTGCACCCAGAGGAGCAGGAAATACCGTAGAATCCAACGCAGCCACAACAAAGATTGGGCTTTGCGTACGAAGGGCTTTAATGACTGTATATTTTGGGGCCAAAATTCATGAACCACTTGGCTAGCTAGCTGTACGCTCTAAGCAATAGGGTCACACCCTATTTTGGGAGGCTGTCAAAAGTTATTCTGGGAAATGCAGGGAAAAGTAACTTAAGTACAATTACACAAGGCAGTTTGAGGGAAAGTGGGTTGACTAGAAATGTAAGTTAAACCATATCATCACAGAATAACTCCTGGAATGCATTGAAATCACACAGTGGTGATATCTAGGAGGGTAACAGTATCCGAGGGAGGGGTTGTCTTTCAACTGCCAGCTGCTGGTGTTTTGCGGTGCAGCTGTTATTAAATAAACGTCTCATCTTAAGCTCGGTATCAGGAAGGCGTGGAGATCAAGCGTAGGAGGCCCGTTTGAAACCTGCCTTAATTATGAGGAGGAGGAGAGCTGAAGTTCAGTTATTAGGTATTGCATTGTAATCCTGACGCTGTATCGGTTTCAATGCCCTGATGGACCTGACAGTTTCCCTTACGTCCAGGCGCTGGACGGGAGCACGTGCAGCCTGAACGCAGCCACATGTGGAGCTGATTATGAGGGGCTGAGTGTTTACGGTGGACCCAGATGTTGGGTGTTTAACATGGCACGGGCCGAGCGGCGAGTTTTGACAGCTCGCGGTTCAGCTCGACCTACACTTTGCTTGTTGGGCCGTTGAGACAAAATGTCAAACATGCAGATAAGGGCCAAGTAAATGTGATTACAGCAATTCAGTTTCTCCGATGCCCGGCCAATCTGTCCAACGTCGGTCAACACCTCTCCTGTGTTTGGAGGGAAAGATCCAAGGCTGCGGGGCTTCCTGAAAACCACCCACTGTTAAAGTAAAATAGATGGATGGATGAATAAATACATGACTAATATTCTGAAAAGGAAAGAAAGGAGGGAGGGGCGACGATTCATACAACATTGATTAGCTTGTCATGTATTAGTAGGTGACTGGAAGAAAGGAAGAATGGGTCTGCAGGGCGTGTAGGACAGAAGGAAACCAGTCATGGTGATGAGTGAATGAGAGTGAATTAATGCATGAGAGAATGAGTGAATGAACAGATGGATAAAAAAAAATCTGCTAAAAGGAAAGAAGGTCAAACAGAATCATTTGTTTGGTAAGTCATTGATAAGTCTTGCATAACCAGACATATCTCCACACGTCACCGTCTTAGCACTGTGCAGGCGGAACCCATTATCAGTCTGTCAAAAAACACTCTGGCTTGTTTGTATTTCTTTAAACCCATCACAGGGTGCACTTGCAAAATAGCATCAAAGGGGAACTTGTTTTGGTGGAAGGCGAGCCCTGGCATTAAAAAGGGCTAAATCCCCACAAAAGAAAGGGTAACAGCTGCTAGCTTGTTTATGTTAGTACCGTTAGGGATCAGGTCAGGGTTACGGTAACTTTCCATTTTCAGCGTGAAGATTGCTTGTTGTTGCTGTTTCATGTAGCAACGCGGGCTTTGAAAACGATTACAGAGTGGAAGGGGAGGAGAATGGAAGGCTTATACCGACGGCCTACTTCCTGTGAGTCCATCTACTCATTGATTAGCTTGGCAATGAATTCATGGGGGAGGGAGGGAGTGAAGGAATGAATAGGGAGTGAATGAACAGACACAAGACATTTTCCAAAAACAGAATCCGAAACGAAAACAGGAAGGATGGTAGGTATGCCAATGATTTTTTAAATTATCTTTGCAAAGAATGAATGAATTATTAGATTGTTTTAAAGAAATCTAAAAAAATAAAAAGCAGACAACCCTGAGTATCTGCAGGCTGGAGGGCAATCACACATTTCAGAATATGCTGCTGTCAATTTAATATTCCTGGCCTGTGGGGGAGTGTGAGATCAGGTGACTGGGGTATAAATAGGCCATCCGCCATCAGTTCATCTCAGCCGACTCCTTGACAGGATCAGAGTGACTGAAGACTGACTCTGATGTCACTCGAAATCAGGACAGTTGTCGCTGAGGGACCTCCAAGTCAGCGGTGAGCTGCGGTGTGTCCCCAAGACACGAACAGGGAGGATGAGGTTTACATCTGTTCTCTCTGAAGTGATGGGGGTCGCAGGGATCACACCGGTGGAGAGTTGACTGGGCCGGCGGGGTCCGGAGGTGAACGGAGAAGCGCAGAAACGCGAAGGTTCACGGCACATTGATGGAATGCAAAGCAAATCGGCAGCAGTTTCACTGATGCTGCTCGAGGCAGTGCATACCTGAACAGATGTAACTGTCAAATATACATGAATGTTTCTGGAGGGTAAAAAAAACCAAGTATGCTTCAATC